GGCGGTGGTGGCGGCAGCAGTGGCGTGCTGGGCGCTGAGTGGCCCTCACCCCTGCAGGCTGAACCAGCAGCAGCTGGCCGACCTGCGGGCCCAGGTGGAGGACCTGCAGAAGACCCTGCAGGAGCAGGGGGGCAGGAGCGAGGACGTGAGTGCTCACCTCTTCCCTGCCTGGCCCTCCCTCGAAAGTCCCAGTAACCCTCCTCTCTCTCTCCCCCTTGCTGCCTGATGCTCCGTGCAGGCCATTGTAAGTACGGTGGGCTGAGAACTGCCCCCTTGACCCTGACCTGGGAAAGAGGTCCTGGACCTCCAAACCCCTCCTCATCCCCTGCCTCTTGTCTTCCCCGCAGTCCACCCTGCTGAAGAGGAAACTGGAGGAACATCTGTGAGTCCCAGGAGGCGGACTTCCCCAAGGGGCAGGGAAGAAGGGAACACAGCCTGGGGGCGGCAAGCTAAAGCCAGGGCTCAGATCCTTCCAGGACAAGGGAGTGAGAGATGGGTCACTGTTGGCGGGAAGAAGAGGGGGCATTTGGAAGGCATTTCCCAGAAGGATGTTGAAATGATACTTGCCATATATATGATCCCTGGTGGCATGGTAGTTATGTGCAGTGGGCTACCAACTGCAGGGTCAGCCATTGTAACCAATAGCCACTCTGTGGGAGAAGACCCAGCTTCCTACTCCTGACATCAAAGAGTCACAGTCTTAGAACCCGCAGGAGCAGATCTATATATTTTTAGGGTTACCGTGAGTCATCATCAACTCAATGGCCGTGAGTGGATTTTGGCACACACACACACACACACACACACACACACATTTAAACTCCATAGCTGTCAAATTTATGCTTCAAACAGGGAAAACATTAAGGAGAGGAAAAAAAAAAACACCCTCTACTATCCCAAGCTATGTAGATAGAAGCGGGGTGCTTTCCAGGCCACCCACATTCACACCGCTTCCACCCCCTTCCTGTTCCTATGAGTGTATGATGGAAACCCTCTGTGCAAGCCAGCAGAGTATAGATCTCTCCAACCCTCATTTCCACAGAAGGCGAGAGCCGGGCTCCTCGCCTTCACTGCTGAGCTTCCCTGAAAATAACTGGCATGCGATTTCCTCATTTCTCCCAGGAAGGGCTTCCAGCCCACAGAGGCTGGCTGGCTGCCTTGGGGCCCTGGTGCAAGTGTGGTTGGGAAGGTGGCCTGCGTGTGTGTGTGTGTGTATGTGTGCGCGCGCGGGCGTGCATCCTATAATGTATTTAACTAGCCTTTTCTAGACATGTGCGATTTCAGACAATGTGCCCAAATCTAAACGTTGATTACTTTGTTGCAGCAGCCTTTTGCGAGTGTAGCAATATGTAGCAGAAGTGGAAACAGGGCCCTAAGGCTACATACTTTTGTAGTTTTATTGGGAGACATAGCAGAGTCCACCGTTGAGACATTGTATCACGTTCTGTGTCCACTGGGTGAGCCGCACAAACAGAGTGCCTGTCAGAACTCTCTGGAGTTTTTGCTACAGTTGCCAGAAGCTTTGGTTGGCATCACCTTCTTTTATAAGCGATTTGCATGCAAGAAAGATCTGTCTGCTGCCTGGTTGTATCTGGAGGAAGCTATGGAGGGGGGAGGATGGTGGCTGGACAGAGAAGGGGTGATGGAGCTTGATGGAAGAAATGGCTGGTCTCTGGGGCACGGGGCTAGTGGTATGTATGCAGGATGGGGCCCTGATCCGAGGCTGAAGCAATGTTGAGAAAGGACACAGTTCCTGGGGCGTGAGAAACACGCCGAGGTCTCTGTAGCCAGGGTAGGAGTATTTCTAGCCACCTAGGAAGACCTGGTGGTGTGATGATGGTTACATGCTGGGCTGCTAACCACAAAGCCAGCAGTTCAAAACCACCAATTGCTCCGTAGGAGAAAGGTTAGGCTCTCTTTCTGTCTTTCTCTCT